CTGACTGAAATGAGTTGAGAGAGAACAAGAAGTGAGAAAATGGAGCAACTTCAATACAAACTACTCCTTTGACGAGCTCTGTTGAATGCGGCAGGGGAGATGAAAGCAACAATCATATTTACCAGCAAGTGTTATTTTGAATGTGAAACATCTGAGTGAATACAGAAGGAATTTATGAACTCTAACCCATGATAAGAATGTTATGTTATATTTTGGCAGGAAGGATGGAAGGGAAGGGAAATGAGGCACCCTGAACAGCAGCGTTAAGGCCTTGAGTCTACCTCTCCTAGTTTGAATATTTTGAAATGCATGTTTGTGTTACTTATATCTAATAATACCTTTGGATGACTGAAGTAATCTAAAAATATTAGAACCTGCTAATCTGATAAAAAGCAGTTATACACTATTAATTTGAGAGGAAGATCTTCTAAAAACTTAGAAAATAAGTTTCAAGTAAATAATGCAATATATGCTGTATAAAGCAAAAAAAAAATTTTTGTTTGGGTTACTTTATGTACCAAGTAGAGAAAACTAACCTAGAATAGAGGGTGAGATAGGATTTTTCTCTGCATGAAATCTGTTTAAACTTCTTAATAAGCTCCATATCAGCCCTTCAATGGGACGACTCTCTGATAATGGAACGGCCTACACTCTGTAGGACATTCAGCTTGCCCCGACCCTACTGCCCACCAGATGCAGAAATACCCCAAAGTGGCTACCATGACCGGAAGTTGCCCACAAAGCTCCAAAAGCCTCATGGGAGAAGGAACAGCTGGAGCTGAGAAGAGAAAGAAGAGTAATTAAAATGAACAAAGGAAGTTGGGTGGTAAGCAGCATTTGGGCAGTCTATTTGGGAGAAAGCAACAAGATGAAGGCCTGAGAAGAGATTTGAAAGCTTGAGCTTTGAGTAGGTTGTCAATCTTAGAGGTGAGGGCAATGGAGGGCTTTTAAAGGATCGAGTTTGCTTCTTATCTGAAATGTTGCATCATCCTAAAATCGGATTCCAGTTTGGGAATATGGTGATAAAACTTCCTGACATCTACATATTTTGCCAGCTTTTATTCAGAATATGTCGTTCTGCTGTATCATCTTGGCAGCGAGAGCCTGGGCACATTCCCCTGAGAACTGCATATTACTCTTTACTCTTTCAACAGTCACAGCTAATTGGAATTAAACAGTTATTATGCTGTTCTTCCCAAGCTTTCTGATTCTCCACATTTTACTCTCACTACTAATGATTATGGTTACCTCCAAAACTAGAATAGATCTTTTAAAAAAGAAGTAAAAGAAAGAACCTTAACTTGACATCCTTCGACGGTTGCATTCGCAATTCTAGATCTTAATGACTAGACATTTGTCAGGGTAGGGAAGACAAGAAGGAGTATATCTATAGAGGAAAAATTAACAGTCAGGCATTATTCTAATGCTCCATTTATAAAACCTGAAGGAACTGGCAACAAGTGCTATGGAGTGTCGAATATTGCATTTTTTGTAGATAGTTTATGGTTTTGAGAATTTCAAACTTTCCTCTCTTCTATTAAACAGCTGAGAAAGATAACACGTGGATTTCATTCTTCCTACAAATTCATGTGATTTTTCACTGAAATTTTTACCTGAGCAAATTTTCTGGAAATGCTGCTGTTACCTCTTAAACTGAATTCTCAGAACAGTGAAACTGACAGGAATTAATGTTATTAATTTTTATTAAATAAGTTTCATTTTTTAAAAAAAGCCACACTTATAGAGCTTTTGAATGTTCAGAGAAGACAAAAGCAACATTTCCAATAACACAAGAAGCATTATTTCTAGGAAAAAAGTAATATACATAAATGAAGAATGTAAAATCTTCAAATTAACTCTCTACATAAGAAGAAATACAATACCACTCTGTGCAAAACCTAATGACAGATAACTTTCTTTAGTATATAGGAAGCAAGCTCAGTTCCAGAGTCACAAGAAACCTCTGAAGAAGAAATTTTATCTGATGTTGAGATGGCAGGTGGAAGCAGGAATATCTTTGAGGCCCTGATAACTCATAACTAATGGCCAAGCGAGTGACTTTTTAAAACATACTTCGTGAAGGTGTGATAGCTATTTGCTAATATTTCTGCCATCAGAGATGATGAGTCAGGATACAGAATCTAAATTGCCATACAGGGTGACAAATTAGTGGTAGCAGAATTAAAGAGAAGCAGAGAAAAGGGCTGCAATGATAAAAAGGAAATTGATAAAGCATAGAAGTCTACTTGAGAGTGGAAGTAGGAAACTGTTCTACCTTTTATTCTCAAGAGACCTTTGACATGCCAGTTTTATATAGTGTTACAAATACTATATGAAAGAGATTAAGGTAGTTAGTGAAAGAGATCAACTAAATGGTAGGAAAGAACGGATAATTAATTTAGTGTATCAGTGTTCCCACATGTGTCACAAAATTTAAAATTTAATTCTATGGACACAAAAAAAGTGTATAAAATGTAATGACAATTCCTATAAAAGATTTTCTCAAAATATCTACCTGTTGAGGTTTATATTTTTCCATGTTTCTGGTATAATTGAATAAACTTTATTTTATTTTCACCTATATTTTTGTTTGATCTCAAAAGGTACATATTGTAAGCCCAATTAAAAATCCTGCTGAAATAAATCTATGTATTTGTACAGGTAAATATAGTAAAATATTTTAAAATCACTTACAAAACAGTATCAAAGGCCCTTGAATCTAGGGTATCAATGAGAAACAATATACAATTGTTTGATAGGTTTTGTTACATGATTTTAATTTCCAATATTTAAAAGCACAATTCCAGGACTAGCAATTTTGATGAGCTAAACTTCTGTTTGAGGCAATGTTGCATGTGAAGTAGGCAATGCATTTTTAGCAAGGGAATAGGGAGTCCCTCATATCACTGCTGTGTGTGCAGACTACACGAGAGACCATAATGAAATGATTCTGTTGTCATCAGTCATGCAGATTTTAGATCTAAGCTTCTTGCCTAAACCTGTAGTACTGAAAATGTGTTAAGTCAAAGTACAATTTAAAATGAGAGTATCAAATTGCAAATTCTTCCTTCTTTAATACAAAAGCAATCTATCAGTTTAATCAGTTCAATAATAATGATTCTAAAATAAAACTGGTGACTGGTCACTGAGTGGCTTTAGGTAGACATAAACAGCTCAAAATTAATTTAGCTGGTAGATATCCTGATGTACTCTAGTATAAACATGTGAAGCTCAACTGTTGAATGACTATCACCTTCTTCTGAAAGAGAGACATTGATGCTAAATCACTTGATAAAATGAAAGATAACTTTGCCCTAACATGTTAAATAAACACAAAAATCACTTTTCAGATTTCTTAAAGGTGTACGCCTACATGCACAGCCATAAATCAATTTTCACTTATTCCTATAATTATGGAAAAACAGAACAAATGCTAATTAAACAAAATATCCTGTCCTAGTTTGTGATCTGAGTTATAGCTTTTCCAGTGCAGATAGTCATGCACTCATTAGGTTAGAATACAAATCATCTGAAACGAGTAATGTTTAATTTACATCTATGCTAATTAGTTTTCTGAGCTATTATCTGCTTTGATGGGATTGCTTGTTTCTCAAGAGAACCAACACACCAAAGAGCTATAGCATCTAACTCTTCAATGGATCTTGGAAACAGATTTTCCTCATTCATTCAAATGCTGAAAAGAAGGATGCCTTCTTTTTAAAAAATTATATTCTGCTAATTGTTATTTGCATTACTTGTATGCTCTTATATCAGTGCACTGTAATGCCATGTATTACTTTAAGCAATAAGAAAAAAGAGAGAGCATTACTTTAAATACACAAAAATGTTGGATAGATTCAAACAGAGGAAATTAAATATTTTATCTCCAAAGTTTGATATGATTTTTCTTTCTGCAAAAAGTAGATATCAAAACAGTGGCATCAAAATCACTCAGAGACTGTACTTTATAAAATAGTATATGAATATAGCATCAAAGATTTGAATCCTAGAAAATATTTCATATGGTATGGTATTTCTTCAGTTTTGTTGTAGAAAAGCAAATACTGTATTTTCCTTTGAAATCTGCAAATAAGCCAAGCAATTTCAATGGCCTATAAATATTCATATGTAACATTTTTCTCCAAATGTTATATCTGATTTTTAAATTATGACATACTTAAAATGAATCATATAAACATAGTGTATGCCAAAACACTAAACAGGAATTAGCATAGATAAAGAAAAAAATGAAAAGATGTACATAGTAAAATATAGCTCTGTAATTAAAGTTTGGCCCCAGTAATTACATTTCATGCTTGACTTAACTAGAGAATTGGACCCATCTTGACAGCGGGCTACTGCAGACTCACAGAAAAGGTGAACTGACTGAATTTAAAATCAAAAGTTTATTGAGTTTAGTGTGTTGTTAATATTTTTAGCACATAAACATTTTTTTCTTACTGAAAATTTATTTAAGACAAAGAATATGTGCAATACAGGAAAAATATGTATTGTCACATTAATGCTGTCCTTTTTTCCAAAACCTAGTCACAGTTAAAGAAGTAGCTGTCTTGTCTGCCCCTCAACTTACCTGAGGGAAAATTTATTTCAGCTAGTACCTAGCAAATGGCTTTCTTAGTTACCTCTCTGCATATCTAAAGTACATATCTAAACAGCACATACAGAACATACAAGAAGCATGCAGTGGATCCAAGAAATCTCTTCTCCAGGAATCATCTTACTTTACACAAAACCTGCAGGTGCAAAAAACTCTCCCGTCCTCAACAAGTTGTTAGGTAACATGGACATATTTTAGTTTCAAGAGAAAATCTTTCTAAAGGAAACATCAGTTCACAAAAGCAGGTAGTGCCCACACTTAGTCATGTTAATGGTCAGATCTTTGGGTGTCGTGAAGGGAGGGCGGGGAGGAATAATACGGAACCAAGCAAAAAGCTTACTCACATTCCTTTCAGGCGCTGCCACATTTTTTCAGTCTGTTCTCCTATGAGAAACTTATAAGGGGTGTTTTCCAGGTCTTCGATTTCTGTAGCAGTGGACTCCATGGTGACGCTCCTAGGGCGATACAGTTACAGTCAGTTTCAGCAGCTAGAACAAGCATTCCTCAGTCCACTACAAATGTCAGGCTGTTACACAGTAGCATCTCTTATCTATCAAAACAGTGCGGAGGTGCCGAGCTGAGGGAAGCTTCTTGCAGAATTGCTATCGCCTCTGCTAGGCATCTCCGCTGTGCGCCCCGCACCCCCGCAAGCTGACAGCCGTATAAGCAGAGGTCCGACCTCGCGGGAGGGAGCAGTCCGCACGTGTGAGCTGCTGCTGTCCCTCTCCCGCAGCCGCGCATCTGTGCCTGCTCTGTGCACCGGAGCACATCAGAGCCCCACAGTTTACGAGCTCTTTCGCGCTCCAGAAGAGGCTGAATTCCTCTCTACCAGCGAAAGGAGGGAAGGTCTAATGAGGAGAGAGATGATGGGAACCGGTACCAGCAGCACCACCCTGAGAAAACAGCGCCAGTTTAAATGCCAAGTGTTTCTGTCTCTTCGTTGATCTGAAAACAACACTGAAATATATGTTATGCTTGAACAATAAATGCCACAGATATTAATGACAACAAAGAGAAAACACGGAGCCACACAGAAGACAGACCACCGCTCTCCACAGGTTGTTATTGAAAGAACAGGAACATGTTGGGATCATGCTAGTCACCTTCTCCTAGCAACTCAACTCAGTAGGTGACTGCCAGGTTACTCAGGGGGGAAAATCAGGGCAGCTGCTCACAGCCTACTCGGGGAGCTCTTTCTTGAGGGATTGAAAAATAAATAAAATAAAGCGAGCGTGAATGCACGTGTGCAACTCTTGAAGGAAGAGGGGGTGTGGGGGGAGTGTCTGTGTGTGTAAGACTGACAGAGGAAGTGAAGAAGTTGACTCTGTGCTGTTTGTACATTTTAGAAGAAAAATGAGAGAAAATGGACGTAAAAGTGGTCAGAACTGAGTTGTCTGCCAAGCTCCCAACACATGGTGAGCTGACTCTGAAACAAGCACAGACCTCGAGTGTGAGCTTCATAATAACTATTGCTGTCTGCAAGCTGCTAAGAAAAATACACTTAGACTTTGTATCTCTTCTTGTTTGTGTGGACACTCGGATGTAATTTTATTCCTTCCTAGGAGAAAATTTGTCGATTACCTTGAGATTTAGAATACAGGTGATCACAGATAGTAAATAAATAATAACACTCAATATTTACTGAGGCTTTCTTCTGTGTCAGATGCTGCTCTTGGTATCTAACGTGGATTACTTTTAACTCTCACAAAAATGCTGTAAAATAGGAAATATTCCTGTTTAACAGGTGAGGACACCGAGAAACAGAGACAGCCCCTAGATTTAAGACTAATTCTTTATAGTAAGCATTGTTATTTTATACACAGGAGGCTTCCGTTGTAAAAATACCATGTCTAGCCACACGAAATTGATGGCAACTCGTGGTCAAAGTCATAATATGTATATAAAATGTACCTTTGCAAATTTTTACAGAAAGTGACTTCCAATTTACAACTTAGAGGAGGTTAAATCGACTGAGCTTCAGTTTTCTTTTCTCAGACAAAGTATTTCCAGAACTCAATCTGAATTTAATGTTGTTAGCTCCCAGGCAGCTTTATACAGTCAAAACCTTACCCCTCTGAGCATTTAACAGTGTCAGAAATAAGTTAAGCTTTGCTCTAAAAGTACCAATTTTAGCTTCACTGTGCCTTCATTTATAAGTCTAGTTACATTCATTTAAGAGACTCTTAGCTGATTTTTCTCTAATAAGGTAGTCGACAAAATATCTGAATTCTGCTAAGATGAATCACGGCCAAAAATCTGCATAAAAAGCAAGTACTCCACCATTATTATTTCATGAAATAAAATACTAAAGCCAAGTTCAGCCTAAAGATGCATCTCTAAGTCTACCCTTGGACTGGCCAGCAGATTAAAAATACTGCAAGGTAAAGAAGGACTGTTCTACTTACGTCTGTGTCTGTGACTCTCGCCCCATCATTGCAACTCATTTTTCCTTTTCTACGTGCCTTTTATCACAAATTGATGTTTGAGGATTGGTCACTTGTTACCAAAAAAATGCTTCATTTTTACATGAAATGCTCCATAAAATCAAAATTTAAATAATAGTCTAGATAGAACAGTTCATTATTTAAATCCTTGATCAAGACAACTTTCATCCTCAAGGAGCATCAAACATTATTTCTGTTAATGTAAAAAGTGTATTCTTTCTGCTAGTTCCCGTGCTACTGAGGATTTGTTCATAAACAACTGGGATCTCATCTTACTAAAAAGCTTCTGTACTTCAAAAGAAATCATTAGCAGAACTAAGAGACAATCTACAATGTGGGAAAAAATTTTTACCAGCTGTACCTCAGACAAAGGACTATTATCAAGGATATATAAAGAACTCAAAACAATCAGTCCCCCCAAATATAAAGACCCGATCCAAAAATGGGCATCCGAAATGAACAGACATTTCTCATACAAAGAAGTGAAAGCAGCAAGAAAATATATGAAAAAATGTTCCACATCACTGGTCATTCGAGAGATGCAGATGAAAACAACACTGAGATTCCACCTCACCCCACAAAGAATGGCTGCTATCAAGAAATCACACAATAACAAATGTTGGCGGGGTTGTGGGGAGAAAGGAACCCTCCTCCATTGTTGGTGGGAGTGCAGACTAGTGCAACCACTATGGAAATCAATATGGAGATACCTCAAAGAGCTTGGACTGGAGGTTCCATTTGACCCAGCCATCCCTCTGTTGGGTATCTTTCCAAGAGAACTAAAAGAATCATATCACAGAGAAGTATGTGCACCCATGTTTATAGCGGCACAGTTTGTAATAGCTAAATCTTGGAAACAACCTATTTGCCCATCCGTTGGAAACTGGATAAAGAAGTTGTGGTTTTTCTATAAAATGGAATATTACTCAGCCATAAAGAGTGAGAGAATAGATTCATTCATAGGAAAATGGATACATATTGAAGATATACTCCTAAGTGAAATAAATAAGTCCCACATGTGTAAATACCAAATAGTTTCCCTGGTGTGAATATTCTGCAACAATGCATAAGATTCTAATAAGATTACTGACATTTAGAAATGGGAGGAAAGGAGCTAAAGGTGTAGGGAAGGTGTGATACGTAGGGGAAGAACAAAAAGGGAAAAGAAAAAAATGTGAGAGAATGAAAAGATGAAAATAAAGTGTTTGTAGATGGGGAGGGGAGGAGGGGATGAAGGGAGGGCAGAGGTAAGGGGAAAAAATGAGAATCAAGACTTGCCATGTAAAGGTACATGATCCCAACAATGAATGTAACTGTACTGTATCCCTAAATGTACCAATAAACTCAATAAAAAAAAAAGTGTAAAGCATTTTTCTTTTCTAGTTTATAGCGAATGTCTTCGTGATATGTTGAAACATAAAAATAAAACAAATTATATTGGAAAGAACTTTATAAAACATAAAGAAGCATACAACTTTTCCTGATTCATATATTGAGAAGTTGCACTCAAAGTTAAGCCAACCCTAAAAATTTTTTAAAATTCTGAAAAAATAAATAAGAATGGATTCTTCATAGTTAAAATACATTTCTCAGAATAAAACATTCAATGTATTATCTGGGATGAAGGGAAAGGAGTTAAGATAACCCTGAATTGAGGGTATAAACTCATCCAGTATGTCTCTGTTTTTAGTACATGTTTGCAGTATGCGCAGTTTACAGTCATCTTGAAACATGGGTACATGTGTGTATAATGCAGCCTGACTCTTTTATCATCTTCCCCTTCTCTCTCTCCCTCCTGCTCTGAATCCCCTTCCCCATTCTCATCCTTGCTGACCTCATTAATCTTAGCTCATGTGTATGACCTATACCATGTCTTTTCATGGAAGTCGTTAGGTTCCTGTGCGTGGCATATCTTGATCTAATAATATGTCTCTTGTCTCTCATGTCTTTTTCCTTTGCTTTGCTTTAATTCTATATCAGGTAATTTATCTCTGTCGTAATGAGTTCCTGCATTTCTACGCCTAATGACTTAATGTCATGAGATAGTACGAGGTAGATTCTGGATCCACACTATTCGGTTTTGGACCCCTGTTCTACTGAAAGAATTATGGGCTCTTTTGCAAGTTACTATACTGTGTCTGCTTCTTCATGTGGAAAATGAGCATAATTATATCATCTTCCTCAAGGAGTGGGTGCAGCAAATAAGTTAGTATACATAATGAACTTAAAACAGTAGCTGGCATATAATAATTGTTTTATGATTATAAGCCTTCTTACTATTTATACTATTTCATGATTTTTCTCCTTTGATTTATAGTTTAATTTTTTTTCAATTGGTTTACTGATAATTATTTCCCAAATCATTTGTCATACAGTATTGTTTTAATGCAATGCTAGTGTTTATTTTGTTTAGAAACAGCCTTAATTATAAGTGAAATGTTCTAAGTATTTGTGAAACTAACTCTATTGGTCTTCATAGTAAGGTTATACTGGAACTGCATAATAAATGGTGGGAAAAATAATTTTAAGCCTAAAATTCCATAGCCTGCAAACCATCACTCAATGTCAAAATGAAGCAGATTCAAAAGTACAAAATTCAGAAAGCAGACCACTCAGTTACTCTACTAAAATGAGTTAGTACACTAACATGAGTCAATACACCTGAAAAATAAGGAAAAAATGATTAGTGACTAATATCAGAGACATGAATCTAAACTAGCAACAGAAATTAAAACCGAAATTACAAGTTGACATCTGTGAAGAAAGGTTAAACATAGAGTACTTCAAATTAGAACAAGAAATTTTAGTCATACGAAGATGATTTCAAGAAAAAGTAGATCGAATTCATTAAGAATCTTAATACAGATTATTTTATTAATACAAGCATGTAGTTTTTAAGTCATAAGAAAACCACAAAAGATGTTAATTTTTGATAATTGGTTGACTATATACTTTAAAATTTTCCAATCCAAAATAAATTTTATGTTTTGGAAAAATTCTAATGAATGTACTTTTAAATGCCCAGCTGGAGCTGTACTAATTGAAGGTATCAAGTAAAAAGAATTTCTTGAACTGAAAATATAGGCATCAAGCCAGGTGAGGTGGCATAAAGCCTATAATCCCAACACTGCCAGGCTGAGGCAGGAGGATCACAAGTTCAAGCCCAGCCCAGGGACATTAGTGACTCAGTGAGACCCCATATGAAATCTGAAAAATATTAAAAGGGCTAGGGGTATAGGAATTCACTTCCCAATAGTTTTTTTTTAAGTAATATATTCAGCAGAAGGATTACCAGTAAAGAATTAAAATAAGTGAAAATTTGCTCACAATATATAGTTAGGCATATCTGTATGGATATAAATGGGAATATTTTTTAAATCTTCAAAGTTATAAGTCAATATACAGTTGAAAACATCATATCCCAGTGATGTATACATACTCATATTTATTGCAACATAATTCATAATACTTTCATCTTGGAAAAAGGGTACATGTCCATCAACAGATGAGTGCATAAAAAAATGTGGTATTTCTACACCATGGAATAATGTTCTGCTGTAAAGAATGATAACCTTGAGTCACTTGTAGAGAAATGGATGCCCCTTGAGATGATAATG